CTTTATTTTTAAGAGTGAAGCTCATAGTGAATGGTAAAAACATTAAGAAAACCTGTAAAAAATGGGAGGGAATGTAATGTGTAAGAAAACAAGGGGTGTCAGAACCATGTCACCATATGGTAGTGCGTAGATCTTGTCTACTTTTAACTCATGTCGAAGCGTTTTTCTCTCTCTCTCTCTCTCTCTTAGCTTTACTTCCACTTCACTGTCCTTTCCAAAAGAAAGCAAACAGCCCATAAAAAAGAAAGCTAGGCATTCTGAGGTCGAGATTTTGTCTGACATACCTCAAGACAACCAATTGTGCATAAAAGGAAAGAAAATGCAAAGCAGAGAAGATCATGAAAAAGGAGAACAAACCCACAGATCGCCGACACCCTGATGGGAAACACTTTCACTCTTCAAAGAAATAATGAAATAGATGAGCCAACTAAGTCTATACAAACCCAGGGTGGTTTTTCAAGATGAAATGCAATGTTTAAGGAATGAGTCATCCAAAATGCCTTAGCAGCTTTTCCAATGTCACATTTAAAGTCATGTTTCTGTAGGTCAACTGGTAGATAATGGCACGATCAACACCAAAGTCATGGATTTGAGGGAACACACATAGGCGTACTGATGAAATGTACACATAGATACACTTTCAGTTGCTAGGAATAAAACTGCTATCAAATCAATAAATATTAAAGCAAGGTTAAATAGGCTCTAACATCCCTGTGATCCTACAAAGGACAAGCGGTATGCAGAATGGATGGGATGAAACAGTTCACTCAAAAATTGAATTTCTGTCATACAGACTTGGCATGACATGAGGGTGAGTAAATGCTATATTATCCTTTTAATTTACAGCTGAACCAGGAGTGTCAAACATAGTCGCTATTAAACAGTTGTCTTCTCCCCATTGTAATTTGTCAAGGCAAGTAGCGCATCTTAGTTAAGTGGAGAAGAGAATTTTTAAATGCATCAAATCAATCTCAATTTCTCAAAAGACAATACTCATTTGACATGATATAAATCATGTAAATGCAACTGGGATGCAAACTTGTAAATTTAAGAAAAAAAAACATTACTGTGAGATGATAATGGGACATAAGCATAGTGTGACACTGAAACATTGTTCACCTAAAAAAAAAATTGCTCATGCTCTGCTTCTGTCTCTGTTTTTATCTTGTCTCATCACAATATGATGCCAAAAGCAAGCAATTTTGTTTTGAAGACCGTCTTAGGCCATTTGTTCAGACTGTAACAAAATCAATACTTCATGTTTTATCACCACTTGGAGTGTAGACATGTTTATTTTATACCAAAAAATCAAGATTACCCTAGGGACCTTACTTCTTGTGTGAGACAAACAAATCAACAAAGATGGTGTTTGGAAAATGGGGCAAGCGAGATTGAAGGCAAAAAGCTTGTTGCAGACAGGATGAGACTGGAATCAAAGAGCTGTCAGGTGGCTGCGTGGAGACATATCCTCCTGGCTGTAAGGTTGCTGAGCAGGAGAATTGTTGGGGGAATAAGATGATGGACAGGAGAGGGACTGGGATGAAAGGATTTCATTAATCAGCAGGGTTAAAAGCAGCGATTGGGGAAGATGATGGCGGGAGGGGGACAGTGATGAGAAATTATAAGACAGGCATCTTACTGTGTGCTGTTCAGTTTAATGTACTGAACAACACCTTTAATTACTTCAGCTGAAAAACAATGGGGAGACAGACGAGATCCCTGATGCATTTTATAGTCACTTTCATGGACTTTAAGTTGTCGTTTGTAGGCGGAAATGGCTTTTTCGCATTTACAGGTCACATGGCGTATGTAAAAAGTCATATGATCATTCTTTAACGTACTATAACCTCCAAGAAACACTTCATACGTGGCCGCTCTCCAGTATAAGGGGCTTTCCCTACTATTAATGCTTAGACAATTTACACTGCACACGTCTGCGGTGCAGTGTGGCTCTGATACGGCCACTGAAGCTGATTACGGCCACTCAATGCTTGTGTTAATGTTTTTATACAGTCTATGGTTTATTCCAGCCGCGCCACGCACGTTTCTGAAGCGGCACTCTTTGCTGCTTCTGTAAAGATACACGCATAAGCCTCCTTTGAATAAATATAGCCAAAATCCGTCGAAATCCCACCAAAATCCGTTGCCATGACTTATCGCGAGAGGCAAAAGGTTACGTTTAAGTCTCATAACATTGGTTAATGGAAACGGCGTCATTTTGCAATACTTTTTTATCGACATTCAGAAAATATCGCCAAAGTTTTGCGCAAATCTGTAATGGAAACGCGCCTTGTGATGGCTAGTAAACTGAGATTTGTAGTCACCATGTCTGGGAGTATTTTTAGTTAACTGGTTGAGTCAAACATGTACAATACATATGAATAATTACAGGTTTTGGATGAAAAAGTGGCTGTGTGACAAGTTAAATGTACCCATACTTTTGTACCAAACTGATACTGCAATATAGTCGAAGACAATAGTTTTTTTAATCATCTTTCTGCAGTTGATACCATGTGCTGAGAGACTGACAGGCTTTCTGATAATCAAAATAAATCTGTATTATTATAAAAAATACTTTGTTTTATTTAACAATAATTTTTGTGTGTGTGGTACAGAAGCGATAATCAAAATTTCGCCTGTACTGTTACCAACTACTGAAATTACACATTACCAAATACAAAAAAAAAAAAGATCTTAGTGGAAAATATTATGATGAATGAACATCAATATGGTAATGCTGATATTTTTGACTGTAAAATAACAAATATTCTCCAGCAGAATTTTGTTAGTTCTGAGACAGTTTATGAAGAACATGAAACGGGATGAAGACAGTAGTAAGCATGCTGTGCCTGTGTTTGCAAGCTATTTGATGGAGGGACACTGATGGATGGTGCGACAGGAGTGTAGTGATGCCATGGTAATGAGCCTGTCGTCCGGGCTTGACCTATTGATGCTGGAGTAGAGGAGGAATGAGAATACCTCTCTTATTCTGCCCCTATCCCATAGCCTCTGCATCCTTTCTTTATCATCTGTCTTCTCTGTGTTAATCAGGAAATCACATGTACACACACAACCCTTGTGTCATGGGTCACTTGCTTATGTGCGTGTAATCAGCATTGAAACCTTTGTATCTTACAAAAACTTTGGAGCCTAGAGGAGCCCTGAATCAAGAAAACAATTATTAGAAGTGTACTCTGAACTAGAGCTGAAGATCTTTGCCCGAACCCGACAGGACCCGACGGGACCCGACGGGTTCGGTCGGGTTCGGGCTTAATTTATATCATTTTACACGCGCCCGGGCCGGGCTCGGTAAATGAGCGGTCATGTGATGCGTTTTGATTAGCGCGAGAAAGATGCGAAAATGGATGCTGAGGAGGTGAAACGGAGGCTTGCCTCTGGCGATTACGTTTTGGTTGCACCAGCAACTAAAGCAAAGTCTGACAAACCATCCTACCCAAAACTTGCAAAATTAGCCAAATCAGTACTATGCATCCCGGCCAGTAGCAGCAGCAGTGAAAGGGTGTTCAGTGCTGCTGGACGCACCATCAGTGAGCGCAAAAGAGCTAAAGGCAAAAGAGCTGTGTGCGTGCGCACATTTGAATAATTTCTTTTAAAAAGCTGTCAATCAAAATGTACTTGTCGGGCTCGGGCCGCATTCTGTCGGGCTCGGGCTCTGTCCCTAACTTTTAAGGCCCGATTACAGCTCTACTCTGAACCTTCTGTGGAGTGTCATGGCTTTTAGAACAAAGGCTATGGAAAACCCATTTTCCTTGTGATTCCTTGATGAATAAAGCAACATTAAACTATATCATATTATGCAAGCTTTATATTTGCTTTAATGATACTATAATATGCTTGACCTTTTGAAACCCATAATAACACATCTATTAATTTCTGGGTTCTCACACCTTACAGGTATATGCTTTTGAAAGAAATACTTTTATTCAACAAGGATGCATTAAATTGATCAAAAGTCTTTCATAATAATTTAGAAGCTCTTACTATTTCAGAATCAATGCCATTCTTTTGAACTTTCTATTCATCAAACAATCCTATTTTTTTATAAAAAAATTAAAATAAATAAAAAATCACCAAATCAGCACATAAGAATGATTTTTGAAGAATCATGTGATACTGAAGACTGGAATAATGGCTGCTGAAAATTCAGCTTTCACATCACAGGAATAAATTATATTTTACAATTTGTTCAAACAGAAAACAGTTATTTTAAATGGTAATGTTTCACAACATTATTGCTTTTATTTTATTTGCGATCAAACAGTAAATGCAGCATCCGAGATTTCTAAAAAAAAAAAAAAAAAAAAAAAAACTTTGAATGGAAGTGTGTAACTATAAATATGCATATATATAAATGTGCGTATTTTTTCGGCTTATGATTAGGATATTAACATTCAAATGTCAAACTGTCCAGTATGCTTCACAACAAAAGCCATTTTTGTGTGACACAGAGTTGCTGCATATACAGAGCACTTCATATCAGTCAAATGTTCATATTATGTTCATATCAGACAACAGTTCACTGTTACCTGCTCCATCATATGTCATAATCCTAGATGGAGATACCACATTCATCAGCAATGAATGCCCTCAAATAAGAGAAAGAGAAATGTGTTCCCCCAAACTGAAATACTCTAATGGAGTGTGGATAATGCATACATCCCTTAGAACTGAATTGAATTACTGAATATAATGTTGTTCTCAATTTGGCAGAGGAAACATATCTGGCTTGTTGGCTAGGAGCATGCTTGATTGAATGGAGAATGGAAGAGGCAGGAGGGTTCATTTAGTCTGTCGGAGGAGACACGGAGTGTGTCTATTTATCAGCAGACTTATCGGTACTCTTATCACGGAGGGTCATTTGTTTCACCATCCCCCCACAAGGAGCGAGAACTGAATTTCCTCGTTGTGCATGTGTGTGTGTATTGCTATTATTGTTATTACTTCATAATTTCTACAGGTTGAACCAAACTTTCCTTTTGGGGGGTTGTAATGAATACCTTTGAGTTTCTGTGTACATCTGATGACTGTTTTTATCAAATGAAATGGTGAAATACTTGTGGAGTGAACTCTCAGAGTCACTCTGGTTTGTGTGACAGTATGTATTTGTGTCTCAATCAGTCAACTCGTTGAGGTGGTCCACTCACAACAAACAACCTGGATAAGGATCAGCAGGCAGAGTGCAGAGGGCACAGAGTTATAGAACAGCTGATTTTGTCTAGTGAGGAGAAATGGAGAAGGATTTTTAATAAGTAAAGGAGAACTGACAAAGTCTAGTCTTAGTGCTCATTAAAATCTCAATTTTGGATGTGCTCCTAATGTTTGCACAGCTAATGACTCGCATGTGTGTGTAAACAGAGGAACTGGGGTCAGTATCAAAATTATGGAGTAATTGCTTCAAATACGCTTGGAGCAGAGTGTTGAAGAAGGGGGAGGTTCCGAACAGTCAGACTGCCAATTCAGAGGACTGAAAGACTGTGAGCAAGCATACGATAAAGTAGAAAAACAGGCCTCAATTTACAAGTATATCAATGGGAATAAAAACTCCACTTCCAGAAAATCTGTTTAGTACACTAAACTATTGAGTTTAGTCTCCATTTGTATTACTATCATTATCACCTTGTACAATGAGTTGCAAATTAAATATGTCACTTTAGTTGATAGATATCGAACAGAAAAGAAACACACAATAGACCTAATGCACAATGTACTGCCTACATAGTTCCTACATATTGTCCAATAGCAAATTGTCATATTAGGAAACTGTCATATTTCGATTAACTATTGATCACAACTAATTATGTTACAAAACTCTATATTATGGATATATTTTTTTAACTAGAGTAAACATACCATTTTATGTCATTATATTAAAATAAAACATTTTAGTAATGATTTCCAGGAGCTTTAAATACCTTCAGCCACTTGGAGGTGGATTGTATCTACATTGCTGTGTCATGATATGTTATGCAACATTTTCCTCAAGGTTTAATTTTGAGCTTAGTGTTCTCACAATTTCTATGCAGTTCTCTGCACTGGATGTTGTGGTGACAATAAGGCTACGTGGAAGAGACTTTGCATAGAGTCCATTGTTTTCACACAATTCCTTAATTTTTGCTATTTCATACAATTATTTACAAATTTCTATACTTTTTTATGGATTAACTTATAAATGTACTTTTAATTGAAATTCATTACACTTTATTTTACTGATATTAAACAATTAATACAAAGAGCAAACACATTTTGCATGAATTAAATTTAAAAAAAAACTCCACAACACAAGCCGTTTTCTTGCATGAGGTGCATGTTGGCACTTACTTGTTTTGGTGCTTGGAGCCCTGCAGGTGTGCATGATACTGTGCCACTGAATTCAGTGTGACACTGCAGACATCACATGTGTAGCAGCGTTTTAGACCTACACAGAAAGCAGACACACAATTTTGTTTTTAGCAAGTTCAAATATTAAATGCACATAAACTAACATGGCAGTCAGAGTATGGAAATTGAGCTGTGAAATCTCATCATGTATGTCTTTCAATGACATTATAGCATTTAGAGGACAAAACGAAGGACACAAGAGAATATGACAAAATATAATATTTCAGTATATTTGCGGTGAATTGTACAAAAACCAACATTACATGCATATTCTTTGACTGTCTTTAGTCCACGGCCTCTCCACCATGCTAAGCTGAAAGCAGAGTGGTCAATAAAGCCTTATCATGTCATTCCCGAGAACAGAAGACTAACTAGGGAATGAGATAACGCTGGTCTCCATCTCTCTCAGTCAGCCGAGGCCCAGCACGGGTCACTGCTTGGCTGTGTTTCGCAGTTCTGCCTGATCAACTCTCCTGATTAACGTACCTTGAGGGAATGTGTGTGGAGAGAATCAATTAAAGAGATATAAATATAGAAATGTCAAGCCTTTTTATTTATTTATTTGTGTTTTTAAGAACAACTATGAAATTACAATGGAAGGTCTCTTCATGAAATGCGATCCATGTCCTTTGAGGGGGGACCTTTGAGGAGACAGGTTCCTGTATTCTTGTGTGTGTGTGTGTGTGTGTGTGTGTGTATGTGTGTCAAGCGACATTATAAATATTTGAGAAGGCCACATGGCTTGTAATGCAGCTTGGGATACTGATGTTGTCGAACCCGTAAGGGCAAGAGAGAGGAAGCCAGGAACCATGTCAGTTTTGTGCAGCTATGAAGAAATATGAGAAAAGTGAAACTTATTATTATTCAGTGTTGGAGAAGCCACTTTAAATCTTTAAAGCTACTCAGAATTTTAAGCAGTTTATAAACTGTCAGATGATACTTTTTTGCATTAAATTGAACTTAAGCTCAAGTTAGATTCTAAATATCCAAGAAAGCTAAATTATATTACTAATTCAAAAATACTACCTCAGAAATATGCAGGGGAGAAAATAAATCACTGATCTTTTTTTTTGGATAAAAATCCATAACAGTGGCGCAGACGGGAAACAGCACTGATAAAGAGCCAAAGTGGTTTGGACAGCTTTTTTCCCTTAATAAATGAAATCATCATTTAAAAACTGCATTTTGTATTTACTTGCATTATCTTTGTGTAATATTAAAATTTGTTTGATGATCTGAATCTTTTAATTGTGACAAATATGCAAAAAAAAAAAAAAAAACAGAAAGGGGCAAAAACCTTTACACAGCACTATGACAAAAAGGGCAGAGCATGTCTGATCATTGGCTCAGCTTGCTCTGCTATAAAATAAAATGTGACAAAAAATACAGTAATGTAGTGTTCGGTCACACCGCACTTCTACCTGTTGGAAAAAAGTATTCACAGTACTAAAAATTTTTTTTTAGTTACGTTAGTAGCATCACTGCTTATAGTTAGTTACTCTCCTGTGTGTTGACTTTGGACAGCAGAAAGCTTGTGACTAACGTGACACAGCAGCACTTTGGCTCTCTATCAGTGCTGTTTCCCGTCTGCGCCACCGTTATGGATTAAGCATCCCGTGTAATTGCTGTCATGTTGCACTAATGATATTGCAGCTGAAAAATGGCCTTTGCAATCTCCCTCTCTCCAAACTGAGTTAAACCCATAAACAACGTTTGGAGAAGGTCTTACTGTTGATTCATCATCATGTTAAATTTACTCATTCTCATAAATCTAGAGTTTGCTGTCTGTTGATAGGCATTTGATGTGTATTACAGCAGGTTAGCAAAAAAAAAAGACAAAAAAAACTGACACTGACAGACCGGGATCAAAGTCTTCCTTGTGTCTATCTATATTATACCGAAGAGTCTGATTATTTTTTTCAGTGAAGTGACATGTGGGGTAGTTGCTCTGCATTTACCCATCCAAAGTGCACACACACAGCAGTGAACACACACAAACCGTGAACGCACACCCGGAGCAGTGGGCAGCCATTTATGCTGCGGCGCCCGGGGAGCAGTTGGGGGTTCGGTGCCTTGCTCAAGGGCACCTCAGTCGTGGTATTGAAGGTGGGAGAGAGTGCTGTACATTCATTCCCCCCCCCCTACAATCCCTGCCGGTACGAGACTCGAACCCACAGCCTTTGGGTTATGAGTCCGACGCTCTAACCATTAGGCCACGACTTCCCACGATTTCTGCCACTGGGCAACCTGCAGAACTTTTTAAAATTTGCTAATCATATCAGCAACAGTGAAACTGAAAAGCACAGCAAAAAATGTCCTTTCCCTCCACATTTTTTAAGGCTCCTAGATACACGGTCATAAACAAATATTATTATTATATTATTATTCATATTATTAGTATTTTATGACTTCAGCAGTTTAACATTTGTACAATGTGCCCACAGTTTGTCTCAGGCGGATGTCCCAGAAAAAAATTTCATATTTTTATTGCATTTTATGAACTGATTTTTGGGCAGAAATTTCTGCAGAATTCTGCATAAAACGTCTTTCTGCTGAATTTTGTGGGTACCGATTCAGTCTGGGCATGCTGATGACCATACTGTCAACTGTTTACAGCAAGTGTATTTTATTGGTGGGAGAAATACACCGGCTCACTTTATTCCCCACACACACACTCTTGGGTATTGACATTGAGAGGATGTGGTGGAACTGTGTAGCTTGTGGTGACTCTCAGCTGGCCTTTTGACAGGCCGCCACTCAAATGCTTTTTGAAAAGGTGAAATAATGGAGCACCGCCCAGGCATTCATAAATGTTAGCCATCTGTTCCGCTTGTCATGCTGCCCACGGAACACATGAGCAATGAGTCGACCAGTGCATAGCTTCTATGAAGTCTTTCTCATCTGTCACCCTTGTCTCAAATGTATTACTGTTAACACAGAATATCCTTCGAATGGGAACAGAGGAACCACAAGTGAAATAAAGGACATTGAATGTTGCCTCTTTGTTATCCCCTGCTTATTATAGCATATATATTTACAGTGGTGTGAAAAAGTGTTGGCCCCCTTCCTGATTTCTTATTTTTTTGCCTGTTTGTCACACTTTAATGTTTCAGATCATCAAACTATCTACGCGTATATAAAAAAGTGTTTTTTAGAAAGAAAGAAAAACGCAAGCAGAGTATAAGTCACATTTTATTATTTCATTCAGAAATAGGCCATAATGCCGACGCGAAATGTTTACAAACATTATAATAAACACTGTAAACGTAGCTAGGCTATTTTAGTTCCCCTCACTCCACAACAAATCCTTTCAATAAACAGTATTTAGAAAAGAACAAGAATTATAAATATAAGAAGCTAGCCTATAGCAATATAAACAAGCCAAAACTAATTCATTTAGGCTAAAACGAAACTCAAACCAACGTTGGGTCTCATTCCACGCAAAATCAAATGTTTCTGTATTCGCGATGTGTTTGAATGCCAAAATATTATTTATTATGTACTTCACTCACGTTCCAATATCCACATAAAACAAAATGTTTTGCATAACATCAAGGCGGTACGGTGATAACGCGTAATGGCACAGACTTTACTACATATTTGAACTGAGCAGTGTGTTTTTTCCCTTATGTTTGACTGACTGTATTTTATTATCATAATGAACAGTCTGCATTGTCTAGGTAGCAATGCTTAACTGTGTGCGCGCATGCGGTGCCGCCGCAATCACTTGAGTTTTTTCCTTCTAACAGTGGAAGCAACTACTCCTTTTAGTCATAAAGATAATCAGAATTGTAAAAGGTTTGCTTTTATTTATGTACATTCACAATAGAAACCAATCTTTGTGCTTTTGTAAAATAAGCCTAAAGAGAAATCAGATGCCGCTTTCTGCCGTCTGTTTCCTTTCGCGCAGCACAAAAATTAACCATTCAAACTCTGCATACTAGGCTATTTGTTGCACAGTTTTTCTTTCGTTTTCTTAATTTATAATTTAAGTAAAAATATGTTTCTCGTATAGGCCTATTTATTCGTTATATATATAGCCTAGCTTTATTATATTATGTTTTTCTCAGGTGTGTGATGTGATATGATATGAATCCTCATGTTCTGTTGTTTGCTGCTTTTTGCGCATGTAAAATTAATCCCCGGGAAACAAATGTTAGTATATTTAACGGTTCACAGACACTTATCCTTTCTACTTTAATTCAATTCTAATTGAAAATAATCTTGTCGGTTAACGGTTAATAATCGGTTAACGTGCGTCGGTTGTCGGTTAGGAAAAATAACCGAAATGAACATCCATACTTGTCAGGATAGAAGGAAACTTGGATGGGGCAAAATACAGTCAAATTCTTGAGGAAAATCTGCTGTCCTCTGTCAGAAAGTTGTCAATGGGAAGAAGGTTTACCTTCCAACATGACAATGGCACACAGCAAAACTGACCACACAGTGGTTGAAGGAGAGACAGTTGAATGTCCTTGCATTGCCTAGTCAGAGCCCAGACTTAAACCCCACTGAAAATCTGTGGAATGACTTGAAGACTGCAGTCCACAAATGCTCACCATCAAATTAAACTGAACTTGAGCAGTTCTTCAAAGAAAAGTGGGCAAATATTGCAAAGTCTAGATGTGAAAAGTTAGTAGAGACATATCCCAACAGACTAAAGGCTGTAATTAAAGCAAAATATGGTTCAACAAAATACTGACACAAATACTGACAAAAAAAGCTGCACTGAGTAAATACAGTTGGATAAAACAAAAACTGTGTCCATCTTAATTTCAGGCTCCAAAGCAACAAAATGTGATTATTTTAAAGGGGGGTGATTTTTTTCGATACCCACTATATACACACAACCAGACACAAACACGCATTACTTGTCACAAAGCACAACCCACTTTCATAGTATATGGATGCACATGAAGACTTACTTAAACAGAAATGCAGATTCCTTCAAGGAAACAATTTTTCTAAACATTAGGAATTACATTGACAATTTGGCTGAGAGCGTTATACAGAATAAAAATGTGAAGCAGATGGAAT